AAATATTTTAATTAAAATTACTGTCTTGACTATTAAATTACTGTCTCAGACAGTAAAATAACTGTTTGGGACGGTAATATTATGAATATTATTTTTCCGAACAGTAATATTATTAATATTATTGTCTAAGACAGTTAAATTACTGTTGGAGACAGTAATTTAACATCCAAGACAGTAATATTAATTAAAATAAATTTTTTTGTAAGGAAAAAAATAATAAAAAAAAAGTCAATTAACAGTTAAATTACTGTCTCCGACAGTTAAATAACTGCTGGAGACAGTAATTTAGCAACGAATACATTAATATTAATTAAAAATATTTTTTTAAGAATAAAAAAGTCAATTAACAGTTAAATTACTGTCTCCGACAGTTAAATAACTGCTGGAGATAGTAATTTAGCAACGAATACAGTAATATTAATTAAAAATATTTTTTTAAGAATAAAAAAGTCAATTAACAGTTAAATTACTGTCTCCGACAGTTAAATAACTGCTGGAGACAGTAATTTAGCAACGAATACAGTAATATTAATTAAAAATATTTTTTTTAAGAATAAAAAAAGTCAATTAACAGTTAAATTACTGTCTCCGACAGTTAAATAACTGCTGGAGATAGTAATTTAGCAACGAATACAGTAATATTAATTAAAATATTTTTGAAGAAAAAAAAAAAAAAACAGTCAATTAACAGTTAAATTACTGTCTCCCACAGTTAAATAGCTGCCGGAGACAGTAATTTAGCAGCCAAGACAGTAAAATTAATTAAAATATTTTTTTTAAGAAAAAACACAATTATAAAAAAAAAAAAAAAAGTCAACGCCGGAGACCCGGCGGTCAACGGCCGTTGACCGGCCGGAAAAATTTTTCAGGAAAACAAAAATTCAAAAAAAAAAAAAAAAAAAAAAAGGTCAACGCCGGAATCTGGCCGGAAAAAAAATATTTCAGAAAAAAAATTTATTTTCTGAAAAAAAAAGTTTTGGGGGTTAATGTGATATATTTGTTTAAATCCGGGGTTAATGTGTAATAGTTAAGAAGTTAGAGCATAATTGGTGGAATTGATAAGAATTAGGGTTAAAATTGGGGTCAAAAATTGAAATTTGGGTTAAAATTAGTTAATTGGTAAAATTGGGCTAAATTGGGGTGTAAATCATGAAATTGGAGTTGAATTGGGTTTCAATGAATTGGGGGTAATTTTGGTATATATAAAGGGATTTTCCTTATTTGCAAATAAGTTTGAATGGGTGGATTTATTTGAAAGACAAAAAAGTTGGATGTCCCTCTTTTAATTAAGTGCCCTTGTCATGGGTCTATTTGCCATTACCCCTTAATTGATACTGATACTGATACTGATATTGATACAAATGTTGATACTGATACTGATACTGATGCTAATACTGATACTGATACGGATACGAATATTGAAATTGATACTGATACTGATAAGTGAAGATTTTAAATTGAATTTAAATAAATTTAAATTAAATTAATTACTATTAAAATTAAATTAAAAAATAAAACTATTTAGAGTTTTCAAGAAAGTTGATATATTTAGAGCATTTTATAAATGGTATGATATAAATATATAATAAAATAATTAAATATCTTTTTAATTTGGAAAATGGTGACATGTTTTTTGATGATTTATTTTCACCAATCAATTTGCCATGTGGGATGCAATTGAATACATGTCACCAATTGAAATTGACAAATGTCAATCAATTAGGTGTGAAATTCAACTTTTATATATTATATAGATTATATTATCAAACTGACATTAAAATTATTTAAAATAATATAAGGGTATAAGCAAACGTTAAGACGTGAAAATAACGATAATCGTTATTAATAGGATAAATTACGAAAATCCTCATGAACTTAGGCTAAATTACGGAAATCACCCCCACTTATCGGTAATTACGAAAATCCCCAGATGTTTGTTTATGTCTTACACGACCCCCTTATGGTGTGATTTTTTACGGAATCTTTTTTATTCCACGTAATATCCCAAAAATTGTGGATTCTACCCTTGCAGACATGACATTTCTTTTATCTTACTTTTTAAATACAAAAATTACCCTTAGGGGAGGTAATAGTAATACTAAAAAGTTGTGAAAATGTTATTTAAAAAGAATAAATATTTCGTGTAAAGTCCCCCTCAGGGTAATTTTTGTCTTTAAAAAGTACCATAAACAAATGTCGTGTGCATGGTAGAATCTGCATTTTTCGGGGAATATTCCACGTAATAAAAAAAAATCTGTGAAAAATCATACCGTAAGGGGGTCGATGTAAGACGAAAACAAACATCAGGGAAATTTTGGTGATTACGAATATAATATTAAATTCGTAAAAAAGATAAACATATTCTCTGGTCATGTTCATGTAAAATGTATAATATCAAATGATTTATTCTGCAATATTTTTTTTATATAAATCCAAGTTTATGAGTTAAAATACAAAATTTTCGTAACACCGTCAATCATACAATTCTAATTAGTGAAGATTTTAAATTGAATTTAAATAAATTTAAATTAAATTAATTACTATTAAAATTAAATTAAAAAATAAAACTATTTAGAGTTTCCAAGAAAGTTGATATATTTAGAGCATTTTATAAATGGTATGATATAAATATATAATAAAATAATTAAATATCTTTTTAATTTGGAAAATGGTGACATGTTTTTTGATGATTTATTTTCACCAATCAATTTGCCACGTGGGATGCAATTGAATACATGTCACCAATTGAAATTGACAAATGTCAATCAATTAGGTGTGGAATTCAACTTTTATATATTATATAGATTAGTATTAATATTATTAGTATTAGTTTTAGTATTAGTATTATTATAAGTATTAGTATCAGTATTAGAATCGTATCAATATTAATATCAGTATTGGTATCAATATTGGTTGGGGCGTATACATCTTATTTCTTTTGAAATATTTATAAGTTGTATTGTTGTTTGAGTATTGTACATCACTAATTGAAAGTCGTTAGTGATAAGCTTGCAGGTTATTTGAATATCTATTGTGTTACTTCTCTGCTACAGTGTGTGTTGTTAGGTTAGTTATTTTGCAGAAGATTCGTATGGCGTGGTAGATTGTGTTCCATGAAATAGAGTTATACCATATGTTTTAAATAATTTCGCTTCATCTTTATATCGTGTTTTGCGCGCTCCGTGTTTTCTTTTTTGTAATATTTAATTTAATTTCATATGTTAAAACTCTGAATTAAGAGAAAGTTTATGTTTTTTTTTCCTTCTATTTTTTTTTACTTGAATTGGTGTTGTTATAAAGAAATAGTCGTTTACATATTATTATTTTTCTCATTTTAAAACTGACCTCCGTGCAACGCACGGGTGAAGCACTAGTTTTTTTGAATTTATGTTTATTCTTGAACATTCCTGACATACATTATTAGTTCTTAACAATAATAGTTAACATAAACAAAATAAAGCATAAACTCATATTTTTATATTGAAATCCCAACTTTTATCTTGAATTATAACAATAAAAAAAAACCGATTTTTGGCCGATTAGTGCAACCAAGTTTGACCCGGCTTAAAGGTTTGACCGCCTCAGACCGCCTAAAAACCGCCTCACAGACATAAAACCAATTTTTCAAACTTTAACACTAAAATCGTAAAGGTTTATGACCGCCTCCGCCTCGGAGACTGATTAATCGGCCGCCTCGGCCGATTTTTAGAACACTGGAAAATAGACAGTTTAGACTGAAAACTATCAGTTTAGTTCGAGAATTTGGACTGAAAATAGACATCTTTGATGAAAATAATCCTTTTTCAATGATGTTGTGGTGGAATTTAGATGGTCGGCGGGCAAGGGCTGGTATGGAGAGGCGGAAGAGTGGAAGACACACTATTTCCTTTTTGAAGTGGGTGTAGTTTCAAGAACGAATGAATTGAAGGATAATAATATATTTTCAATCTAAGATTGACTATTTTCTACCCAAACTCTCTATCTAAGTTGCTTGAATGACTTTTACCAAAAGGCAAAAATATGACGATTCTGATTTAAAAGGGTATTGTAGTCCATGAGTGTTTAGAAATTGTCCTCTAAAAGGAATGAGTAAAAAACCTCTTAAATATTGTAATATAAAAATTAATAGATGCAAGTCATGTTGAAAAATAAAGAAACATCTATACATTTGAAAATGTACTGTTAACTTAAATTAAATAAATAAGGTCGAATATGTGTTTTCTTTCGTAATGAAGGAACCCGCAACCAACTATATATAGGTGTACTGGGTAAACCTACATTGTTGTATAATAGCATGCAAATTATTCGAGTGATGTAAACTACTGAGCTAACCATGTGTGACAAGTTCGACCTAACTACCGTTGGCAAGGGGATTCAATCTAAAGTTAACTAACACAAACTCACTTGCTCCAACCGTTAAATCATCCCTTGCGGAACCCGAATATGCGTGTTTAATCATTATAAAAAGTGTAGTACCTATTCGATTCCAACTGTTGAAAATCTACAATATTATCTAAAATCCACCATTTTAAAGTCCACCCAATTTATTTATTTATATTATAATAGCTTGCAAACCATACGAGAGAGATTAACCATGTATGACAAGCTCCACCTAGCGGTCGTTGGCAAGAGGATTTGAACCTAGGTCAATTGACAAAAGTTCACTTGCTCCAACCGCTAGGCCATCCCTTGTGGGACAATTTACGCAATTAATTGTAAATAGTATGTAAGTAATTTGCTTAATCATATTTCGGAATGTAATTTAAAGGATTTAATTTCTATTGTTCTAATTTAGATATGTATTTATTTTTTGCGGAAAATCCTTTTAAAGAAATCGATGGCGTTGACTCCGAATCTCTGTGTAACCTACCCTAATTGGAAATCCTGCCTACCGCACTGCATATAACTTAATGATACTTTTTGCCGCTACTAACATTTAACATTATGCACCGAAAAAAATATTTAGCATCGAGGACCTAGATTGTTTTTCAATGAATGAGGTATGTAAATTTACTACCATTTGCCTATTATGCAACACTCATAACAATTCCAAGATCTTTTTCGTCATATGTTTTTAGAAAAATGAAATAAAAATGACCAACATCACTATATGCATCAATATGAACATACCTTACACAAACAATTTCCTATCATAGAGATGCCCTTCTAATTTTTTGAGTAGGTTGACATAAATTTAAAATTCCTCGTCAAGGTTTTTGTAAAATTCAACCTACTAAAAATTTATCGGCAAAAGTGGATAAAAATTAACACCTATTAATTTCATTTCCATTAAATATAAGGTAGAATCACCAAAAAATAACAATGAAGAGCAAAACCACTGCTATATATACCGAGTTTATATCCATGTGAGCACACCATTTCCGAGCAAATAACAATTCTTTGATTTTCGACAATGAATCCGACCAATAACCCCCAACCGAAAAAACACAAGGGTCGTCGAAAGGTGAACATGGAAAAAATGGAGAACGAAAGTAACCTCCAGGTCACCTTCTCAAAAAGGCGTGTGGGCCTATTCAAGAAAGCCAGTGAGCTCTGCACTCTCACCGGCTCCAAGGCAGCGGTTGTCGTTTTCTCCCCTGGCGGCAAGGCCCACTCATTCGGCCATCCTGACGTCAATACTATTGCCGATCAGTACCTCAACCCTAATTCTCAATCTGGCAATAATAATGTCCAACAGAGCTCGATTCCAATTGAGGGTCAAGAATATCTGGCACAGCATGGCCAATTCTTGACCCTGAATTCTCGACCAGCTGGCAATCATGCCGCTGGTCAATCGAACCATGTCCAACAGAGTTCAACTCTGATCAAGGATCAGCAGTATCTGGCTCTGGTCGAGAGCCAGATACGAGCTGAGAAGGCTCGTGGAGAAGAGATGGACAGGATGAGAAAGGCTTCCCTTGACAAACTCAACTACCAACAGCTCGAGCATTTGAGAGGGGCGATTATGGAATTTAGCAAGAAACTCGGAATCCAAGTGGAGAAGGGTGTGGATTCAAAAAGGGGGTGCGATGTTGTTCGTGGAACATATACCGGTCAAGATTTTGGTGCTTCTTCTTCTTCCCATGGTAATGTGGTTCCTTATGCGACTGTGATTCCATATGATCAAGGGGCAACAAGTGCTGATGCTGAAGAGTTCAATGATGGCTATGGACGTCGGAATTTCTGAAAATGTTATTGTTTTGAATTATTTTATGTTTTCATTATTGCAGTTTCTTGTTCCTTTTGGTTTTTATTAGCAAGATACATGTTTTATCGTTTAAGAATTTAAATTGGAGTGCGATCCTTTACGCTGTTTTCATGATAACAAGAACATCTATGTTGTCCCACAAAGGGATGTCTAGCGGTTGAAGCAAGTAAATCTGTCAATTGACTCAGACTCAAATTCCCTTGCCAACGGTTGCTAGGTAGATTTTTTCACACATGACTAGCCTAGATAAGTCTCTCATATGAGTTGCAAACTATTATACGAGACTGTAAATTTATCCAGCGTACCTATATGGTAGGTTGCGAGTTCCTTCATTAAAAAAAAAAAAAGACTTATTTTCATTTCATTTCAGATTATTTTAGACTAAAAATACTTTATTATTCTCCAACTCGTCATTCTTCAAATGCAAATCCACTTCAAAAAATAACCTCTCTTCCACTCTTTCGCCTCTCCCCACCAGTCACATGCTGTCGACCGCCTAATTTTCCAAAATTTTCAACAAAGCTGTCCATTTTCATTCTTATCTCTCAAACAAAGTTATCTATTTTCAGTCCAAGCTCTAAATTTTCAGTATAAATTATACAACTAAATTGCCCTATTGACTTTTAGCATATTCAAAATATGACTCTTAGTTGTACAAAATATTTGTGAGGGGTTTTTATCAAAAAATATCGTATTTATATTTGGGATGAGACAAAACATAGTAGCAGTCAAAATATATGTATAAAATGTTGGAGGTAAAGATTTTAAAATAAGAATTTAAAATATAGAAAAATTAGTTGGAAGTCCCTTAAAATATTTTGTATAGATATAAGGATGTGTCTATTTTGCCATTTTGCTTAAGAAAACTAACAGTAAAGACGATGCGGTGATTTACACAACCTAATTATATTAATACGCAACAACTTAGTTAACATACAGTTAAGAAAAAACTAAAATAAGAATAGATGCTTCTCACAATATATACATAATTTACACAGACATCTTAGTTACACAACTTAGACAACTTATTTGCATAGTGATATGAACCACGCAAACTATGTGACGAGACCCGAGAACAATACTTCGGTTATCAACTCCTGGACCATCCAAAAGAAGGAATCAAAAGGGGGTGGAACCGCGACCCGTTGTCTATAAAGAAACAAGAACCTTGGTATGTGAAGACGCACAATCAATTGTGGAAGATTGATTGATAAGTCGGGTGAACGTACGGAATCCTCCGATATGTTCGAAGAGTTCTTAAAGAACTAGAGAGAATAATCTCACAATTTAATTAATGATCAAAAGCTGTCTTTCACAATGAAAGGAAAATAAAACCATAAATCTACTTAATAAAGGCTTTAAACAAGTGAGCCGCGAAATTAAAGAGAGCCTTAATAGAATAGGCTCATTAACACACTAATATGAGCTGATTAGAGATGAACCCACGAATTTAAGGTAGGGTGGGCTTTGGTCTTCATCCTGCTTGCTCTTATTTGCTCAACTTGGACTGATCTTTAGCCCGGATGGTTCCCACACTTGTCCGGTGACTCCGCCACTTGAATATGCATAATCCACCCTTGTTTATCACCATTGAATGAAGCTTTCTTAGTTAAGACATTTTGGATCAGTGCGGCAAGCTTCTCCTTGAATTGCTTAACTTGGCTCCTCGTTACTGGTCCAGTTGGGACTTGGATAGGATCATTTTGCCAACTGTTGGTTAGACCTCCATCACATAGCTTAGTTAAATAAGGTGAAGAAAAATAATTAAATCTCTGGTGCGTATATCACCACCAACATTACCATCACCATCACCAAACAATTCTTAATATTTTTTCGATTAGGTTTCATTGTTTATTAGGTTACAACGGAGATGGGATTGGACGGGATCTGAGTGAAGGTGGGGACTGTGCGTATATCACCACCGACATTACCATCACCATCACCATCACCATCACCAAACAATTCTTAATATTTTTTTGATTCGGTTTCATTGTTTATTAGGTTACATCAGAGATGGGATTGGACGGGATCTGAGTGCAGGTGGGGGAGTGTGAAGAATACATGACTTTAAAAAATTACAAAAGTTCATATTTCCTAATTTGAAAGACAGTTAGAGCTAAGGGGTTTCAGAGCAAATTGCAGCATATATAAAATGTACAGTGATGTCTATTTATTGATAATGAAGATATTTTTTGTACTGTACTAGTAGTAGAGTATCAATTAAATCATAATTGAACAAGAGAGAATTTCCTGGAATTGTTTTGGGATTTTTCTTTTGAAATTTTTAAACAAGCATAGATTCAAAGTCTTATATAGCTTATATGAAAGACACAATCATGGTGTGTGTGTATTAATTCTATCTGCAGAACAGCATATGTATGCATCATCAATTCATTATTCGATACGCAAACACAAAGAGAAACAACCGACGGAAAATTAGCTATTCATAATTTGGTAACAAAAGTTTGAAGTTTTAGCAAGACTGAAAGTCAACAACAAACAAGTCTGAAGAACGCTTTATTCGAACACACTCATAGAAATCAAGGAAAGCGAGAACACGATTCCGCTCCATGCTTTGACATCACTCGTTCATCTGCACGATCAATCAACGTGTATAAACCACGATTAGTCGGTGGAGAGATTTAACGAGTTCGTTTAAATAAATAGTAAAATCCATCCTTAAGTAAACAACGGAAGAACTGCAGGGTGGAAAACAATTTAGCATATAGATTTATGTTCAACGGTCACCATAACGAGTGAAGAATAATCAATGACAGTGTATATAGAAATGATCTTTCTATTCCAGAAAATATTATATACTAATCAACGACAGTTTCGACCTATTGAATCACTATTGATATTCATATAGCATACAAATTGACCATCTGTATTTCTTAATCCCAATTCTAGTTTGTCTCGTTTATCAATAATACAAACTGTAAATTTTCTTCGTGAAAATGAAAATACACATTTTGGAATTTATGTAGAAACTAATAAATCACACTAAATCCCACATAAATTATAATTCCATAGCATACAGATTCTCAAATTCCTTACGGGGAATTTATGCAGAAACTTAGGTTATTGCTAGAGTTCGCGATCAAGATAATATCTTATCAGTTACTCCTGCATTACAATTAAACTGTTTCCAGTATTTGCTCAATGAATTGTCTGCTTCGATCTAAAAATGTACAATGCAAAGCCACATAATCCAAATCAGAAAAAAACAATAAGGCGAAAAATATAAAAGGAAAAAAGCATCTTTTATTTTCAGTCTCGTATGAAAAAAGGGAACTAAAAATCACTATTTAATAGTCCCTTTCTCTCTCTCACAAAAACATAAAAATAAAAATCAAGCTGACTTTGTGATGCGTTCAGATCAAACATATCAACGAGATAGCAATAATATAAGCTTTTCGGATCCCTTCTGATCATATAAACCCAACAATCGAGGCTGACCAATTAAAAGTTATTAGTTATATACAGAAACGGGGTGGAGTAGACTTAAAAAGTCAGTAAAACTATTTGGTGCTTATTCGAACGAAACAGCAATTCCTTATCCAAAATGTGAAAATGATTCAGAGTGACAAATTGATATCGATTTCACCCATATATATAACCACAGGGATATTAAGAAATTATTTTAAATCAATCATAGCTATTACTTGTCCAAAGCGCAATCGGATTTTTAGATATCTGCTCTGAACTTAGAAGACAAATCGAGATACCATCACAAAATTCACAAATCAACAACGAATAATTCAAATTTCCTAGCGAAGCATTTATACTATAGATTAAATTTAACAAAACCTATAATATTGAGAGAGACTAATTAAATTTGGGGTTTCAGGTTATAGATAAGATAACCCTAAAATTCACAAAATTAAATAAATAAATAAATAGGAAATGAAAACCTAAATTGACACACCATCACCTCACGGAACACAAAAAGATGAAAGCCAACACAATTTAAAAAAAAAAAAAACTCCAAATTTCAGAAAATTGAATTTGTTTTTTCTTCGTATAGACAGATCATATGTAAGATCGCGAGATTCTAACCCGATAACGAGTTTCAGTGAGTGGAGTGAGAGTGAGAATGGGGCTTGGGCGCGTAGATCTTGTCGTACGCCATTTCGCCGACGAGGTAGATTCCGAAGGCAACCAGAGCGATGCCGAGGCCGGGGGTGGCGTTGCGCCACTGATTGTGGAGCATCGGGTGCTTCCTCCACTCGTCGCGGCGCCTGAAAAATTCTCCGGTGGGACCCAGTGGCTTCGCCATTGACGCTTCGTTCTTTTTTCTTCTGTTCTTACTTTCTCGTTCTTTTTTTGAGACGACGAAAATGAATTGGAAATGTGGTTTGTATACTAATTTTGGCCCGTTTAGTACTAATCCGACGTCGTTTAGGATTTTTATGAGGCTTGAATTAGTTATAGTGGGCTGTGTCTACTTAAATCTTTCACCGTATATATATATGAAACTTGGCCCACGAAAAAAGAAATCCCGGACATTATTTACACCTGGTGAAAAAAGAAATCCCGGACATTATTAGGTATATGAGATGCTGTTACATCTGGTGAAAAGCATCGGATGACTTTACACCATAGATCTATACAAATAATTACGCACTAAGCATACATATACATAGGAATGTGTGTAAATTATTATATGTAGATAAAAAATGTAGGATCAGCGGGTGTAGCATCTACAAAATCGTAAATTAAATTAGAAAATTATTGGGTTTAGAAACAAAAACTGAAATGTTAAATGTTGTTTCAATTTTACGAATACAATTTTAATTTCGAATTTGATTTTCACCATTTTGTATTATGATTTTGGCAAAATTCAGAGCATGTAAAATTTAGTTATTTGAGTTAGCTTTCTAATCCAATTTGAATCAGCTAGATTAGATGTTGGTTGATAGCTATGCATGAATGAATTGCATTTTGAATTTTATATAACTCAAAACATCAAAATTGTCATCATTGTTCATTGATTCATGTATATCTTTATCACCCGATATCCAATCTTGATAATTCAAATTAGATTAAAAAATTAACTCAAAGAACTACAAGTTCCGTGTTTTGAGTTTTGCCCAATTCAACCTAAAAATTGTCAAAATTACATTTGAAATCGAAATGGCATTATAAAAATTGAAACTAAACCTATATCCGAACAAGGAATTAATATTTAAAAATTAACGGAAACATTTAACTAACTACACAAGTCTATCTCTCTCTGTCATCTCTCTCTCTCTCTCTCTCTCGCAGTGTGTGTGATGTGTGTGTGAGTTCTCGCTCAGTCGCTCTGCAAAAGATTCGAAAATGTCAACACTTCAATTAGCCACTTCATGCTCTCCTCCTCTTTCATCATCTTCTTCTTCTACTTCGCCTTCTCATTCAAATCCTTCATTATCCGTAGGAAATAATTTCATCAAATTCCACCATTTCAGAAACATTTCCATCTCCGCCAAACACGCCGCAGCAAAAAATAGATCTTTGAGGCACCCAATTACTTTCAGAATAAATTGTTCTGCAGAGGCAGCAGCAGCAGATGTACGTTTACAATTCAATCACGATTGATTCGTTTCCCTCAATCAATTTCTTGTTCGACTGCTTTTTTTTTTTTTTTTTTTTGTTAATCCGCTGATTGTAAATAATTATTAGGGCTCGGAAGAAACGGTGAAGGAGAAAAGCGTGTCAGTTATTCTGCTTGCAGGAGGAAAGGGCAAACGAATGGGCGTAAGTCAATTTATCTGAATTAATATCTCTCATTAAATTACTAGTATCTGAATTTTAGTTTGTGCTTGATGATTAGATTGTTTTCGTTTTGGTTGATAGGCAAGCATGCCGAAACAGTATATTCCGCTTCTAGGTCAACCCATTGCTTTATACAGGTGATACAGCAACTCTACACTCTGATTAAGATTCTTGAATAAAGGTTTTATACTTAGTTACTGTTTGTGGGTAATATGCTGTGTTTTGAAACCCCGGCAGAACGGCCGGTTGAACCGCGAACCATTGCATTGTCCCGTCCGGTTTGACCGGTTGAATAGTAATATCGGAACCCAAGTGAAAATCAGGTTTTTCTTTGTCCAAAATTGTGTTTTTATAAAAAAAAAATGGCTAAAACGAAGTCTTTTTACTGTCCAGTTGAAAAAAAAATTAAATAAAATTAACTTTTTTTTGAAATTAGAAGACATGCTATATTTTTTTATTATAATTTCTATAATAATTGAAATGATTTGGTGTGATATGTGTGTGTTGATATGTTGTGTGTAAAAGAAAAATAAGTTTGATTTACCTTTTAATTGGAAATGAGTTATGAGTTAATGTGTGTGAAAGAAAATATGCTTTATTTATGATAAAAATTATGTGTAAATAATTATAACATAAAAAATAAAGAAAACCGGTTGAACCCTGGTTGAACAGGTCCAATCGTGACCCTGTACCTTGTTCAAGTCAATGTCCGGTCCGATTTTCAAAACATTGGTAGTATGTTAACAATCAATAAGGTAATGTATATAGAAATAAAAATGAAGCACTTGCATATAATTTTTGTTTCTGTCGTATTTTGCTTGATGAATGAGCAGAACTATTTTGCAGTTTCTACACTTTCTCGAAGATGCGTGAAGTGAAGGAAATTATCGTAGTATGCGATCCTTCGTACACAGACATTTTTGAAGGTCTGAAAAAATGTTGTCTATATTATTACCTAAACCGATTATTAGTCTCAACAAGAATCAAAATGATCAAAGTGTTTGAAAAATACACACGCACGTGCACTGTATATCGGTTTATTGGCGTCTCTGCTGAATACTACTTTCTCTGTTGTTTTTAGACTCCAAAGATGACATCCACGTGGACCTGAAATTTGCATTACCCGGAAAAGAGAGACAAGATTCTGTATACAGTGGATTAGAGGTATACATACACACACATATATATATGTATATATATCTTTGGTGTTTGGTTGCTAATAATACTTCATTAACGAATTGTTTCACTCATACTATTGAGGATTTTTGTAACAGGCGATTGATTCAAATTCTGAGCTAGTCTGCATACATGATTCTGCAAGACCTCTCGTATTAACTGAAGATGTAGAAAAGGTCTGTGTTCGTCTCTCAATTTCTTTCCTGATTTTTATTTTTTTATTTTTTTATTTTTTATTTTTGGTTTCTTATTATCATTTATCCTACTTCAATAGATTAAAAAAAAATCTTTGATGAAGTTTCATTCTCGACTATTTTGTTCTACCAGGTTCTAAAAGACGGAAGACGAATTGGTGCAGCTGTGCTAGGTGTTCCTGCCAAAGCTACAATCAAAGAGGTCTCCATTTTTAATCCCCTATTCTATAAGAAACTACAAGACTTTCTTTAAAAAATAAATTCATTTTTCAATATAAATTTTTTCGATAAATCCTTTGGAAATTAGCAAAATAGTAGAAAATACTGATTCTTATATGTGAGTGTTGAAAGTTTGGTTTTAAATCTTTAATGTGTGTGATTTAGGCAAATAGTGAGTCTTTCGTGGTAAAAACTCTCGACAGAAAAATGCTCTGGGAAATGCAAACTCCACAGGTTTGTTTATATAAGCTGAGAATCAATATATATATATATATCTCGATTTTTGCTGAACTATTTTTGACAAGTTTTGTTAACATGCAACTGGTCAACTATTTATGCAGGTTATCAAGCCTGAATTGCTTAAGAAAGGATTCGAATACGTTAACAGGTTATTCATTCTTCATTTTTTGTCACCCTTTTAAGCATTTTCGGAAAAATAAAGCTAGCAAAAGTACTTTTTGCATAGAGGAAATAAATAAATTTTAATATATATTCAAGAACATATTTACGGGGATTTCACTTTCTCATAGTTTCTAGCTATTTTATGTAAATGAATATTCATACAAGTCGGGTGACAAATTTGAGATGCTGAAAAAGAAATGATGAATGAACATAAAAAGAAAAAAGGTGGCAATAGTTTAAAGTTCAGTCTATAGTGGTGGAAATCGCAATGTAATTTTCGGATTGTGTCCATTCCTATCAAAAAATTTCCGACTTTGGAACCAATTTTTATTATTTTTTTAAAAAATTTCTATTTCCAATATTTTTGATCTTTTTTTCTTTTAGATCTGGATCAGAATTATTTATGAAATTTTGTTTCCCCGTCTGATTTTTATTTCTGGAAACTTTGGAGAAAAAAAATCATTTCAAAAAATACATGTATAATATTAATATTATTGTATTATGAGTGAAGATTTAAATGAAATCTTCGAGTCCGGGCAATTCCGATCCAAAAACTTCCGATTTCGGAATATTTTCATTCCAATTTCCAAAATTCCAATATTTTTCTTAGAAATTTTGAAAACATTGATCATAGCGTGCGGAAAGAAAAGAAAAAAATTGTTTGCAAATCTGAAATTATAGATCGGATTTTCAATTTTTGGTATGTTGGGCAGGGAAGGACTTGAAGTCACCGATGACGTATCAATCGTGGAACACCTTAAACATCCTGTGTACATTACTCAAGGATCTTACACCAACATCAAGGTACTCGAAATAATTTATTTTCAATTATTTATTTTATAAATAATTCAATTCATTTAATATGGAGAAGCCATTAAAATTGACCTGAACAATTAATATAATGCTCGAAATGCAGGTTACAACACCGGATGATTTGTTACTCGCCGAGAGAATATTGAACCCCGACACTTGAGATTCTTCCAACAGTAATTCCTAAATAGGAGCCTACATATATAAAATTCTTTTTTTGCGTCTCGATAACGTTGAGGTCCAGTGGCGAAATCTGAGTTTTTTCAAAAAAGAATTCTTTCTACTTTTATATAAAATTTGCGTATAAATTGTTCCAAATTCTGGAAGCAGTTATTGGTCAATTATACAAGTTTTAATGAATATTTTCACGAGTTCGAGCTCATCAAGTTTTTTGGATCTCGCCTTCTTGGCTTGATCCGTATTAAGCAGATCATTACATAAGTTAATATCAATTAAGTCTACCAAACAAGGCCTAAAGATATTACAATTACACAACCAACAAAGTAAAAAATTCTAACAATTACACCCATAATAATTATAGTGGTAAAAAATTGAAAAATCTGATACATATTTTTGGAACCTAAAAAATCCTGCTATTATTGACACCATGATATTTTTGGAATCTTTTAGATACTTCGATACAATTCTAATCTCAAAAAAGTCGAGCGACATTAAAATCGGAGTTCATGGTCTAAAACAACTTTACTTGACCGAAAACATAATATAAGCACACCATATATAAAGAAGCAACAAAAATTTCGATAGCATACTCTCAAGAAAGTTGTGCAGACTTGATGCACTTTGCTACATATATCATTAGTAATCTAAAATAGCTGTAGTTCTTCAAGACTACAAGTAAAGCTGCTGCGGCAGAGAAAACATTTAACTAAGTTCAAGAAACACGAAAAAAAAGAAGAGAATATTCTCATAAAAGATCCCTAAACGATGTTCAAAGAAACACGAAAACCAAATATAAGAAAGGAGTTCAAAAGATAATTGAGATCCCATCAGCAGATATTCTAATTTTGATGACACAAGTTAAAGACTAAAATAATGATTGCTATTGATCCCTCGATTTTTCCTCCATCACGGTGGGGATTAAACTCTAGCCCTCTTGTTACTGCAACTAGGGCATTTGTAATGCTTGATATGTTCGGCTTTTGCAGGTGTGATCTTCACACATTTGCCATGGAACCATCTTTCACAAATATCGCAGCAAATCCAAAACTCGTCGGTGGCGTAATTATCTCCACACGCCCCACATAATGCTGCTCCCTGTTCGTCTTCTTCCTCTTCCTCCTCTCCACTCTCATCCTCGTCCTTTGGTGCCGATACTTTTACACCTTTTGGCATGGAATCCCGACATGTCTATAATTCAAAAAAAAAAAACAAAGAAATTTAAAAAAAAAACAGTAGAAACAAAGAATTGTAAGTAATTCAGAAAGTACAGACCATTCTCGCATTAGATTTGTTCTTGCTGCTGTTGTTGTGTGGAGTGGCGGACTGCTCCTTCGCCTGCTTAACAGCACCTGTCACAACTTCGAATACGGTTGGGACATCATTAATCATCTGGAAAAGCCTCTTCCTGTGCAAATCAATTTCCCAAGGGAAATGTTAGAAACGAAAGACGGATATAGTCTAGACACAAAACATACCTAAACCAACTTAAATTTAGCAAACCGTTTTTACAGAAGTACGGCGTCCAAACGAGAAGCAAAAGCAATATCTCAGAAAAAGGAGAGTGGAAGCATCAAAATTGGGGCAAAAAACAGTTTCTATAAGGTTGCATGTGGATTAGAGAATTTGTATTTGAGGAAAAGATGAATTCGTTAATGATTGGAAAAAAATAAATCATATGATTAATTAAGGAATTGACATCAGTAAGAAAATAACTCAACCGAGCAAGTGAGATGTTTTGTTATGATTCGAAATCACCCCCATAACTAGAATCCAAACACGACCTCACTTCAAACAAAGAAACAACGCATTTGTAGGAAAAATAGAATCACCAATCATTGTAGCCTATAGCATCCAACTTCCAATAAATCACCGACTTTCACGGTAAATATTGAACCTCAATCCTAATAATGCATCACAGGAGCACTCAATTCATGTAGAATTGTTCCACTCTAGTATCTTTTGAAGTGGGCAGCAGCTATATTTAAAGAAAAAAAACAGCAATTTCATGCACAAATTCAGCAAGGTACTTTAAGAATCATCACGAAGAGTAGTAAATGAAGTTATTGGAATATATAGCATAGGAAGTACACACGGCAAGTCTCCTCTAGTTCAATGTTCTTTACCAGACTAGAGGTATCTTGTACCAGCCTTATTTACAGAACTCAGGAAGGTATCTTGTACCAGCCTTTCCGACTGAACAAATTTTTCACAATTCCAAAACTGACCATCAAAATTAAATTAAAATGTAATAGACTACAAGTTTGCAAACTCTTTTGATAGAATAAAGATATGAAAAGAGAGAGATCGTCAAAGGAAGAGTACAATTTACAGAAAAACAGCTGATATCACCGCTAGTACAAGAATACAAGAATCATTAGGCTTAAATTGTCTTTATAATTAGAAATATTGGGAACACAGAGGTCGAGTCACCTCATGTTTTCTTCATACCATGGTTGTACCAACTTCCAAACACTGCTCAAGTAGCTGGTCATAATGTCTAAATAAACTATTTAGCAGAATTGTTTGTGATAATATATGTTACCACAACATGGGAAAATTTTACCAGAAGATAGAGATGTTTCATATTCTTACCTTTCACTTTTACCAAATCCAAAACGTGCACCAAAGTAGAATGCAACCGAGAGCAGCCACGAGTCACTGTGAACTGCAACAAGAGATAACCAATCCTTTTCTTGCATCCCATCTCTAGCGAAATTTATTCCAAGTGCTGGTTCCGGCAGTTCAGGAGGCACCTCCTCAACAGGCAAGTTCACTTCCCATGTCTCATTTGGAAGCCCATAAAGACAGAGGTTTTCTTTTTCTGCAAAACATCGATAAATTCAGAAACAATACTCAGATTGATAGACTTTATCAAAATATGCTTTTCAAAACAGGTATAATATCAATATATTAAACCAGAAAAGGATAAGTTTTTATCATAGTACAATTTAGCTTTGCAGGCAACGAGTTACTTAATTAGCTAGATGGCGAAAATTTAGAATCCATATTATTTTATCAGGCAATACACCTATCTCTCATCCAATATGCTGAACCGAAATGCAATCACAAATAAAATACAGCATTTTTATTAAATTATGGCAAGTCGATTATAATATGTACATATACCTGGCTATGGAAAAATGAATGTTGCAATCCTAGCCTAAGTAGCAACAGTAACAACTTGATCATGACACAGATAATGAGAAAATCATAGAGGGACACAAAAACAGTTCCAGTTTTACAGATCCAACAAGTAATAATCAGAAAGCAAGTGAATAAGAAAAAAGAAAATCGTACCACCAATAAGATTAAGTTCTATCACAGAACGACAAAATCAAAACTCCTGTTTCCCATCTCATACATCAAGCGGAAAAATATCTCTAGCTGCTAAATGCTAATTAATGGAGAAACACCAATGAACATCAAATCTACCTCATCCCTTCTGAAGTTTTAATATCACTGACAAACCATTAGTTTTAATATCAAATCTCTACCAAAAACCACAATCATAGTTTGAAGAAACCATGGAAATGTGAAGCGTTGAAGTTAATAGCATAACATTGTTAATTAATTTTCCATGCATGAAAAATTCACATATAATCTTGTGTTAACCAATTCTCCTTCTACCCACTGCCATTTTGCATCCACAAGGACCAAAAAAGCACCCAATCCTAATTGCATGTAAGTTCGAGCAGAGTTAACTGAAAAAGAATAGGACTGACAAATTTCAAATCTTCCTGTCGGGAACCAACATATTAAGTAATGTTATAGACTTATAGCCTAATAACATTGAAACAAGGGAACAAAGATGAAGCAGAATGAAGCTCGGAAAAAAAAAATCATGATTCAGGGAAGAAAGATTTGAAAAGAATGCGACCAACTAAGTCGGGGGAAAGCTTCTTTAAGGTACCAAAAGCATCACACATGGCAGGCAATACCAACCAATCAGGTAACTGGATCAATTATTATTATTCTTACAAAATTCCTGAAATCCGTCCAATAAAGCATCCGACATAGATATATTTACCAAACTGCCTACTGAATTGACACGCGTTCAACTTATGCATTCAAGGTCAACACTTGCACTAAAAGCATGGTAAGTTTTAGCTTTTTGACAAGACGACAAAAGTCAAGCATTAAAAAGTAATAAGTTCACGATCCGTCATTCAACCTTCCCGACAAGACAACAAACGTTGTTCATACAACCGCAAGAGTCCAAAAGAACTATTCTTGGGCCCCTCAACAATGAATGCTCCTCCATAATGACAGCTACTCAAACATTTATTTCAATTAGGCAACACTCCGAAACCACATCTAGGATGCAAAATTGCCCAAGGCAAGAAAAAGAAACAAATAGCATTCCAACAATTCTAGCCATCTAGGTGCTTTCTTTCACTCCTAAGCGCAGACAGAAAAGAGTAAAACATATTCTGCAGAAGAAAGTGTCAGCATACAAATGGAAAACTAAAACAGGAAAACCTAGAAGGAACCTGAAAAAAAGAGAAGTTCATGGATATATACTAGACTGATACGAACTAATATTAAATGTGCAGCATTATTAAAATCCAAGATTTCATCATTTTATCTCTGATATTAATGTTCTTCCCTCATAATAATCGTAAATATAAAACGACAATCCAATAAATAAAATTGACACGCCATTGCAAAGACTACACAATCAAGAATTCAAAAATCAATATAAAAGGATATAAACCTAAAAAAACACGGAAAAAATGGAAGGAAAAAAATTCTCACCAGGATCACACTGCTGATAAAATTTCTCGACATCTGCACAGCCATCAATCAAACGCAAATCAGAAAAAAAATAACCTCTAAAATCACAAAGCAACCAAATTTAACACAAAACGTTTGCAAACACGCATACCCAAACTCTTATCACACATCCCAATTTTAGACATACACCCAACCCATGCAGAAACCAAAACACACACACACACACACACGCATATAAATTAATTTTAAAAAAATAAAAAAAATCGTTTACCTTGTGTGAGAGCTTTGATGAGGCCAGCTCTACGCCCTTTAAAATCGTTGAATACTTCCTCAACAGTTCTCGGTATCGGATGCGGAATGCCTTCCATGGATAAACTTTTCGGCAGCAATTCTTCCTCTTTTTGTTTATTTTTCAAAACCCAGGAATATACCCTAATAATTCAACGCTTCTGCGGCGAAATTAAAACGGAGATTGAGCAAATTAGGGTTTTTGTTCAGGTGTTAGGGTTTCTTCTTCATGAGGCCCCCCAATTACTACTTTTGAATTAGCAGATATTCGTAATGGTTAATTTAATAAGAAAATGTTTCTGTGTATGTGTGTTTATGACTATTGAAGTGAGAATCTGAAGCACAAGAGGAGAGAGAGAGAGAGAGAGAGAAGAGAGAGAAAGAAGAGAGAGAAGGGAATCAGCGGGAATGAAAATTGGGGTATGAGTGAGTGACAGGGTTTTATTATTATTACCCAAAAAGAAAAAGGAAATAAATATTTATTTGGCTTAATTTCATATGCACCCTCTAAATGTAGCATTTTGGCACTTTGAACCCCCTAAAAAAATTAATAGCACTTTGCACCCTCAAAAGATAACTAATCATTCACATTGCACTCCGGTTGATATTTTATTAAAATTCTTTCAATAAATTATTTCATTTGTAGGTCTTTGATAAACAAAAAAGTTGTGAATTTTAATCTCCTAGAATATTTGAGTCATATAGCAAGAAAATAATTTAACGGTTTGGATGAAAATAAACAACTTAATTTGACGTTTTCAGAACAAAAATAATTACGTACTATTATAAAGATGAAAATAGGGGTGTAAACGAGCCGAGCTCGCCTCTTTTGGCTGGCTCGAGCTCGAGCTCGAGTATATTTTGTCGAGCTCGAGCTCGAGCTCGCGAGCTCCTCTTTTTTTGGCTCAAGCTCGAGCTCGTGTCAGTTGTGTCGAGCTCGAGCTCGAGCCCATTGTCTTTTTTTTTTTTTTTTTTTTAAATATTTTTTTAATTATTATTTTATTATTAAAAATTATTTAAAAAAATAAAAAATAAAAACTAAAAACTAAATTGTAATTATATATATTTTTAATATTTGTATTTATTTCTATAATATTTTACATTATTATACATTATTATACATTATTTAAATAAAAATAACATATAAAAAAAAAATAATAATAAATCCGGCTCGCGAGCTCATGAACAACTGAAAACCGGCTCGAGCTCGGCTCATCAAAAAGCTCGAGCTCGAAAATCTCGAGTTCGAGTTCGAGCTTTTTACGAGCCGGCTCTTCGAGCTCACGAGTCGGCTTGGCTCGTTTACACCCCTAGATGAAATAGCCTCAATAAATACACCATACGAAAGTATTTCTCTTCTTGCTACATAGTATTAAAATTTTGATTATTCTACCCTTCAACATTTTTTTCACAAAATTGTATAAAGTTATACTTTAATATAAAAAAAAACAACATTTTTTTACCAATTCCAATAAAATTAAAGACAACTATCCGATACGTTATGTAATTTTTTTTATGAGAACTCTGTTATTGTAATTATATTTTATTATACCAAAGATTTTTTCTATTTGGAAATACTATGAAATTGTACTCATTAACCTAAAATTTTCAATTGGGTGCAACATGAATAGTTTATTGCCTTTTGGGGGTGCAAAACGATATTAATTTTTTTTTGGGTGCCAAAATATGAAAATGTTATATTTTAAGAGTGCAAAGTGGAATCAAGCCATATTTATTTTATCATTTTTCGGGATATAACAATTTATTTATATTTAAAAAAAGTTCCTTTTTTTCCACAAAACAAAAAATCAATTTTTTTTTTTTCGTTTTTTATTGTGTCTTAACTAGTGTCCGAGAGACATTGTGGTGTGTATATGAATGTTTTGAAAACCGCACCGAACATCAAATAGGCCAGACAACTGGGTCGCGGTTGAACCGGTTCAACGGAGTTTTGATATTTTTTTTGTTTTTAATTATTCATAAATAGTTATAAAATAGCTATGTTAAAAAATATTTACATTCAATTTATTAACGGTACGTTATAAAATTAAATGTTAAATAACAAGAAAAACATTTACACTAATAAAACTACAATTAATTAGTTCACTCATATATTAATTTTAAGAAAAGGATAAAAAAGAAAAAAAGTAAAAAGAAACATCAAAACTCAAAGCCTTGCTCCCATCCCCTTCTTCGTCTTTTTCATCTTATTTCCGCGGCCAACAAACAATCCAAGCCGAGCCGAGCCGAGCCACACCCAAGAACAATAAAATCTGGATTCCATTCATCAAGGTTTGGACATAAATTCCGGATCTGTAAGTTGTTTTGCTTGAATCGATAAATCTTTTTTCTTTTTTTTTGGTAAACAAGTAACATATACTCTGGAAACCGGGTTTTGGAGCGGTTTCCGATTTCCCGGTTCGACCAGGCGGTTATTCGGTTTTCAGTCTTTTACCCGGCTTTTACGAACTTTCGTTTTCTTGCACTGAACCGGACCGGATCAGGCCCGGTTTGATTTTTAAGTTTCATCTAAATCCACTTTTCATCAATCTATGTTTTAATGTTTATATAAACAAATTAAAAATTAGGGTAAATTAGAAACACCCCCTGAGGTATGGTCAAATTACAAAAACACCCATTTTGTTTGGATAATTACAACCACCCATCAACTCATCAAATTTAGTGGAATCTTCGAGATTATATGGAATATTATCACTTTTGTACCCGTTTTATCCCATTCAAACTCTACATTATGAAGCAAGATGATCATAATATGTGACTTTTAGATTGTATATATCAGTTTGTGGTGCATCGGAAACTGTATTTTTTACACAAAAAGAGTACAAACTAGAGCACATTTCACGGAATCTAGATGACTATGTTGAATTTGACACCATAAAGGTGGAGGTCTAAGAAAAAAATCATAGTTGAGGGTGTAGATGTAATTATCCAAACAAGAGGGGGGTTTTTGTAATTTGACCATACCTCAGTGGGGTGTTTGTAATTTACCCTAAAAATTAAAATTAATTTACTTATATCAAATCGGTTTAATTCCACTTTACACCCTTGAAATATACCATCTGACACATTACACTCTCAAAATAAATTAATAGCACTTTGCATTCTAGAAACAAAACATATCATGTATAATGCACGTCAAATGATTTTAAAGCTAATAAAGGCAATTTAATATTTTTCGTAGTATTCTTTTAGGATGCCAAGTGTGAAATCATTTTTCTTTTATTCATCAATCATTTGAAACTATGAAGTGCAAAAATAAAAATAAATTTCATCAACATATTTTAGAAAAATGGATTATTTTGGAGACCCCTCATATTGAAAATATATATAACTAACCACCATGTTGTTTACACCCCCTATTGCAAACCCCCTCAATTTGGATAATAATTTGACATATCTTATCGGTAGATTTGAAGTACCCAGAATACGCTTTTAAATTAGTTTTAAATCCTAGCCAATTCATATCGGTCTCTATCTTCTTCTCTCAATCCCCAGATCTAAATCCCGCCTCCATAGATCTCCAATCAGCGAAGTTACTTCCTGGAGTCATAACTCTCTTTCCGGTGGTCAATCCAATGGTTTGACTACCATTGGATTCCACTCGTCGAGCTCTTTCTTTTGGTGATGATTTCATCCAGTTTGGAGCATTCGATCTGTTTCTGAAATTGTTTTACAGTCGGTGCCTATTTCGACGACGGTGTATCTTGCCGAATGTGTAATTTGTGTTCCGGCAGTCGGAATTTGACGGGCTACCCACCGTTGGATTCCTCTCGTCGAGATCTATGGTAATTTCGTTCATTTTATTATCGTCATATATATATATATATATATATATATATATATATATATATATATATATATATATATATATATATATATATATATATATATATATATATATATATATATATATGATGAAGCTAAAAATAGATCACCTTAGATAGTTGAGATTGAGGGAGCTGGGAAAGCAAAGTGGGTCACTGCTCACGTGCTAGATGGCCCTGAGATACCTGCGAACAAAGAACACGTGAACTAGGCCGGGGGTTGATCCGGCGGAAACCCCTCCGACGCTCAAGTCAGACGTGCGGATAATGGAAATAGTTGGGAGAATATGACCCCTAGTATTATTTGGATAATAGGGCGTACCTTTAGCAAATGAATTATATCGTTATTTATACCATAGATGAGATCGTTGAGCCCAAACCTTATTTGAAGGTGATTGGGCCTCGGGGATATTAGTCTTCAATATTGGGCTCGTGGCCCAGTAGGTAAATAAATTGTAAGTCCATTGGGTTGGCCCAATTAGGCATATCATTAAGCCCCCACTCTCGAGTCGATGTGGGGGCCATGTCGAAATGGGTGACAGATCGTGTCGAGAGTAAAAATTGTAGTAGTCGCTCGTTGGCGTAAGGCCTGATGGTGTGCGAAAACGCGTTGGAGCGTGTGTTGGAGGGGAGTGAAGGCGCGTTGGCGCGTAGCGCGATGTAAATTACTTGAGTCGTCGGCGTTGTTATCTCCTCGTGGGAGTTGTTTATTTATTGACGTTGTCAATGGTTTGACGCGTTGCTTATATGTGTTTACATATAGCCTTGTGCGTGATGTACTTGATGAGTGGATCAGGCTCTCAAGATATTATTTTATATGGGGATCGTGCCCCTTGTTAGACCTCGTGGGTCGTACATATGTTTGGACCGTGGCCACATTTTAATAAACGACCCGTCGAAAACAAGTAGAGAAATTTGAGTAATCAAGCTGGCCAGGCTATATAGATTCTCGTAATATCTCTAAGTGTTTCTAAGGTTGGATTTGTAGTGCCGAGCGAGTTGGCTCCTCGTGGGAGTTGTCTCGATGCGGGTTGTAGTGCCGAGGGAGTTGGCTCTGTTGGGTTTCGGGCACTAGTACACAGCGGAAAACAAAAATTTAATGTGATTTAAACGACTTTAAAGCACACAAGCACATGCCCGACAAATTAAAATCAATTAATTGCGTACCTTTGCGCTTCCAGCGAAATTAAAACAACATACATGCTAAATAATTTAACTAAATTTAAATCAATTAACATGCTCGCGTTTAAACCAAATAACATGCTTGCAACGATTAAAATGATTACACATAATCACATAAATCATACGAAAGCAAACATGAAAATATAGTTTAAACATAAACGAATCGAAACAAGGGATTCGTGTGTTTACCTCTTGAAGCGTGAGGTAGGAGCGCTTGGCAAGTCGAGATTGCTACGGAAACCAATCCGTACAATCGGGGCAGCAGCGGTGCAGCGGCAGCGGCGGCGAGACGGCTCACGGCGGCGCGTGAATTTCACGCGCGCTCTTCCGGGGCGGCGCGTGGGGCAGCGTGCGGCTTCGGCTCGTGCGCTGCTCCTCGATTCTTCGATCTTTGGTCTTCCTCCTCTTGGATTTCACCTCGTATACTTC